AAATAAAAAGCCTTCCCCAACCATGCCCCTCCCCCGGAAAAGCCACTTCCCCCCCTCCAGCCTCCCCGCCTGGCTAGAGGATTCTGGGTGTTGTAGTCCCAAGGCAAGCAAAGAGGCACGGGCGCGCAATGGGGGGGTCTCCAGGTATTTTACGCGTCTTGTTTTGAAACCATGCCTTGCAGAAAGAGACCCCCCTCCCCGGTTGCTGCGTTATGGGGGGGACGACCCCCTCGGTTTGCCCTGCAGAGGGAGCCGTGGGGCCGGCTGGGGACCGGGAAGGCCAGCAGGGGGCGCCCCTTGGCTAGCAGCTGGGTGGCCCTTGGGGGAGAGCGAGGGCAGGGCTTGGCGAGGGCGCAGCGCATCGGCGATGGTGAACTTGGGGCTGCGGCGCGTGGAGGACGAGGTGGCGGCCAAGCATCCGGTGGGGGATAGGGGTTTGGGCTTGGGAAAAAGAATCCTAACTGGGGGAGGAAGGAGGAAATGTCTGCGGACTACAATTCCCAGAAGGCGTGGCCACAAGGCACTCTGGGAGTCGTAGTCCAAAGTGTTTTTTTTTTTTAAGGTAGCCAAAGAAAAATCTCTAATCCTTTTCAAGCTTCGTTTACAGGAGGTTTTTGTGGTTAAAAGCAGGGGTGGACCCCATATGGGCTGCGCCTATGGCCTCTTGCCGGCACAGATGATGGAAATGGGAGCCGACCCACCTCTGGAAGGCCGCTGGTTGCCCACCTTGGCGTAAAAAGGAGGGCACCGCCATGACCTGTGCCCCCAAAGCGATGTGCCTTTTAGTGGCCGTGCTGAGATGGAGCCTCCCTTTCAAAAGCCATTCTATCTGCCTCCTGGGATGTCGGAGGCGTCCGGCAGGAGGCGAGAACGAAATCCGGTTCCTGGCAGTTTTGTAAACCCTGGATGGAAAGGATGATTGACGGGGTTCATCATAGGGTATATTATTCTGACTTAAACCATAACAGCGAGGATGATAATTCCTGACCCTCCCTTTTTCCCTCCCCAGGGGCTGCAGGAGTATGCCAGTTGCCAGTCGTACGCGTTCATGAAAGGCGTGGGCACCTTCGTTATAGGTAAGCCCCCCACCCCACCCTCGGCTGCTTTCATAGGGTTGCCTGTCTTCCAGCCACTGGGGAAGATAGTGGGTTTGTGTCTTTATTAATGTCATTTTTATGCCGTTGATGGAGCTAATTGCAAAGGAGGGGGTTGGTTTGCCCACAGGGCTTCCCCCCCCCCGACATGCGGGCACTAATTCGGGCTCTCCGTCTCCCGACAGGCAGCGGCTTAGCCTTCGTCGTTCAGGGCTTCAATCGGAAGTGGCGTTACTCCCTCCAGTGGAACGTCCTCTTCTCCACAGGTTAGTAGCTGAACAAAATGCCTTGTGGGGGGGAAACCCAGGGGTCATCCAACCCACCCCTTCAGCAAGGCAGGGGAATCCACCCCAGCGCCGACTGGGAAGATCTTGAGGCCGGAGTGGTGGTGGTCACCTGCCTCATATTTCGTTAGGATGTCTTTTCTTGTCTTTCGACCCTCTCGATGGCGTTTCACGTTATAATTAGAGGGGTGCGTTTTGTACGTCGTGCGGCATCTGAAAGCACAAAATATCTACTTTTAATATCACGATCGATGATGGCGGCTGAGCAGCTGCTCTTCTTGTGGGTTGGCGAAATGGCGTCCTAGTTGAGAATCGGATGGTGGAATCATCCCCTCTTGTTTAAAAGGCGCCAAATCCCTGCAACGCGTCTGCTTTTTGGAAAACAAGGGTGTTGTGTTGTTGTTTTTTACTCCCGGGAAGATGCACGACTGAAAGCGTTTCTGTTCTCGCCCCGCTTTTTGCACGCTGTTTTTCTCTCTCGTGCACACGCAGTTGTCGGCCTGATTGCCAGCTACACGGTGACTCGGCGGGAGACCAAGAAATGCTCGGAGCTCTGGCTGTTCCTGGAAAGCAAGAAGCTGCCTCAGAGCCGACCCCAAAGTGAGAGGCGTGGGGAGGGGGAGAAAGATTGAAAAAGGGGTGGGTGGGAAAGTTGGGGAATGGGGGGGGAACAAGATGATGACGATTCTCTGAGAGCTGGAGAAGCTTCCACTGAGAGAGAAAAAAGTAGAGCGATCAAAGCGGTTATGGAGGACTACAGCTCCCATCTTCCCCCAAAGAGCGTGGCCACGATGGCTTTCGGAGTCCTACGTACAGGACTTTTCAGCTCCCCCCTTACTCCAGTTAAACCCAATCTCTCTTAGGGTTAACCTCCTTTTCCAACTCCACTTGATTTTTGCTTTTTCTCTCCAGCGCCTGGTTTAGATTTTGAAGAATAAACCAAAGAAGGACTAAGAGTGGAGATACGGTGGAGTAACCAGAAGACACCCCCCAACACACACACACCCAAAATGGAAAGCTGCCCTCCTCCCAACCTGCAATGCTCCCCCTTCTTGTTCCCTCCTAGAATCCCAAACAGAAGATGATGGAAATACACAAAGCAGCAAGTAAAATGTGTAAACGCAGACCCTGGTGATTTTAGGTTATTTATGTACATTTATGCCAAAACATTGTGGTTGCTTTTTAAAATTTGTCCTAAAGCATGGAACGGCTGGGGAGTTCAGAGGTTTAGGCATCTGACTCCAGAGTCGGGAGGTTGGGAGTTCGATTCCTGCTCTGGGCCTCCCTGATGGGCCTTGGGAGTTCGATTCCCACTCTGGGCCTCCCTGATGGGCTGGACTCCATGATTTTAGGGGTCCCTTCCAGGTTATAGATGCCTTACATGCAAGCAGAAAAATAGCAGATTAATCCTAAACATGACATGATGGAAATATGCAAACCAGCAAGTAAAATTTGTAAGATGGGGCCCTTGTGACTTTATCTACCCACTAAGAGATTTATGCCAAATCTCGCAGTTGGTTGTTTGATTTGTCTTAAAGCGTTTTCTCCTCTTTTTCATTCCAAATGGCGCAGCTAATTTAAACACAAACGCACGCCTACACCTTGAAGCTTCTGTGTGGTTGTGTCTGTGCCCACCCGCCCTTCCCGGTCCTTCTCTAGATCCGCTTAGAAGCCACTCAGAAGGTCCGCACTCCCTCATCTCCCCATCACATACCCAAGCGATACAGCCCATCGTTGGACAATGCCTCGACATAAAGGATGAGGGCATGGTTATAATCCACGTTCCTGATGGAGATGTGTTTTTTTTTGTAAGAGTGGCAGGGAATAGGGTGATGGGCATTGTAGTCCGCTGCATCCTGATCATACCGCAGCAATTGTGAAAAAGGTGCAGAGCCTCTGGAACTCAGCTGCCCAATACGTTCAGATCCGTCGACTGCCTGGCCACCAGGTTGGTCATGAATGCCCACCCTGCAGAGCGGTCTGCTCCCCCTCCCGTACGGCCACCTCAGTGCTGACATTAACGGACCCAACACAAACAAGCAAAGGGTTTCAAAACACACATTTTCAAGTGTTCGCTCTTTTTTCAGAGGGTAGATCTGTTCTCGACCCAGGCAAGGGGAGCGTCCGGGATGGTACTTCTCAGCATCTCCCAGGAACTTCGAGTTGCATAAAAGTTGTAAAGGTAGCCAGTATCGTTGGAGGTGTTTATGTAGAGGAGGAAACAGCCATGGAGGGTTTGCCCACATGCTGAGCTTGACAAGAGAGAAAAGCACAAGGAAGGAAAGGTGACGATCCGTGTGCATTTGGAGAGGCGGCGTGGTGTCGTGGGTGAAGCGCTGGGCGTTGGGAATCCTGGGTTCAGGTCTCCCACAGAGCCAGGATAGGTGCTGGGCTGGCGATGGATGCATCTTCTTTTCCCCCACCTTTTTTTTCCTGCCTGGCCTACCTCACAGGGATGTTGGAAGAACAAAATAAGGTGGGGGGGGGAAAGGCCACAGAGGCAGCTTTGAGTTGGCCGCAGGAAAAGCAGCGTATAAATGTAAACAGCTGGATCAAGAATCGTGTCCTGCTGCACCCGCAGCTTTGAGTTGGCCGCAGGAAAAGCAGAGGAGGCATTGAGAAAAAGCTCTACTTTGCCTGGGTTTGCATATGCACCCCCTTCAAGGGGGAGATGTGGGGGGGGGGTCTCTACTCGTAGGGCTTTCTCCGAAAAACCTACCTCCTAAGGCTTCTGCTGAGGAAAGCAGAAGCACTTCGGAGGGCTGGTTTCGGTGGAACAGCATGCCACGCGTGGGAGGTGAGAAAGGAGGGGCCACCGAAAAAGGCTTTTATCTCTCGCCATTCAGGACCCGACAGGGCTGGAGGGCAAGAGGCCCCAAAAAGTCAAGGCTTTCCTGGATGGTCTCAAGACCCAGCAGGGCGCCCCCTTTGGAACCATCACCCGTAGAAAAGGGAGGCATTGAGAAAAATCTCTACTTTGCCTGGGTCTGCATGCACTTAATTTAGATGCAAAGATGCAACATTAGACTTATTAATTATTTTTTTTCACTGTGAGAACAGGCCTGCAGTGCGTCCCCCATAAATAGCAATACTGCATAACCCAAGCCGTTTGCCGAAAGTGTTGGAATCACAAGATCCGAGTGCCGAGGACCAGAATCTAAATGTTCCAACTCTCTTAAGTTTTTGAGCGGTGAAAACTATAAAGACCCCAGGAGTCCATCTGAGAGCAAGGATCATGACCAAGCGGGGGAGTCTGTTTCAAAGTGCTTGTTGGCATTTTAATCCCCTCTGATCACAAAGGTGCTTCCTAGGATTTTACTGCCCCCCTCCCGGGCAAACATTTCCAGACAAAATAGAAAAGACAAGATGCTTTTAGGTATTACCAGGTAGGGGGTATTTATGCACAAAACAGAGACCTTGCAGCTTTTGGACACACAGACAGAACGATTTCTTGATTTCTTTTTTTTAAATGTCTCCTACCACCTTGGTGAGTCTTCTAGCTCTTAAGTTTTTGAGCGGTGAAAACTATAAAGACCCCAGGAGTCCATCTGAGAGCAAGGATCATGACCAAGCGGGGGAGTCTGTTTCAAAGTGCTTGTTTGCATTTTAATCCCCTCTGATCACAAAGGTGCTTCCTAGGATTTTACTGCCCCCCTCCCGGGCAAACATTTCCAGACAAAATAGAAAAGACAAGATGCTTTTAGGTATTACCAGGTAGGGGGTATTTATGCACAAAACAGAGACCTTGCAGCTTTTGGACACACAGACAGAACGATTTCTTGATTTTTTTTAATGTCTCCTACCACCTTGGTGAGTCTCCAGATGAATATTTATCTTCTAGTTTTCCCCAAACTGCATTGCCCCCCCACCCCGCCTTATTACAGTTTAATAGGGTTGAGATCAAATAAAAGTTTGGAAAAAAGGAGAGTGGTTTTCCATTTGTCCTATCAATCAGTAAGTCCTGATGTGTGTGTGTTTCCACCCCCCAAATGAAAGACGGTAAAAAATAATCGGCTGTCTTCTGTGCTGCTTTCCTTCCGACACCTGTTAAGTGCCATTTTTGCCAACTGGAATTGAAAAGATGCCATGTCTTCTCCCCTATTTTTCCATTTCTGATTACTAAGGCAATGAACATTCTTCTGTGGGGGGGGGGAAGAGAGAGAGAGACAGTTGTCACAAAAAGCGGGGCTCATTCGTGTTTAGAAGAGCCTTCGTAAGATGATTTTGTAAACATATTCGGCTATCCTGCCGCCTAGAGTGGTCTTAAGTGACTAGATAGGCGGGATATAAATTAAATAAATAAATAAATAAATAAATAAATTCTAACTTTTAAATAAATAAACCCATCTGTCTGTCCATCCATTTTCTGGCTGACTGGCTGGCTGATTGATTGAATACACAGTGGTGCCTCGCTAGGCGATGATAATCCGTTCCACTGAAGTCGCTGTCTAGCGAAAAGCAAATCGTCATCTAGCGAAAATCAGTTTGCGAAGCAGGGACCAAACATTGTCCAGCGAAATTCCCCCATAGGAATCACTGTTTTGCGAATCGCTGATTGGATTGCAAAAAGTCAATGTCTAGCGAAAAAACTGTCATGCGGGGTAACTGTCTAGCGAGGCACCACTGCATTTGTATACCGAAGCACTACTCTGGGTGGTTTACAATATTAACCAAACCAAACCAAAATAACATGAAAACTCTTCAAAACCAAATTACACCTAATCAATAAAACTAGATCAACACATAATTCCCCATTTAATGAATGCTTTAGAAGTGGTCTATTTTGAAGCGGCACGTTTCAATTTTTCATAAATTATTCTATGCATACATATTTGCGTGCACTGTACTCTTTGATTTTGATGGAGGAACATCAAGACGCCCACAGATCCCAGAAGGGAAATGAGAGAACGTCACAGAGAACCGAGCTTGACAAAGTTGGAGGGTTTTTTTTTTGTACTACAACTCCCAGAATGTGGTGATGAGAGAACGTCACAGAGAACCGAGCTTGGCAAAGTTGGAGGGTTTTTTTGGTACTACAACTCCCAGAATGTGGTACTATAACTTCCAGAATGTGGTACTATAACTCCCAGAATGTGGTACTACAACTCCCAGAATGTGGTACTATAACTCCCAGAATGTGGTACTATAACTCCCAGAATGTGGTACTATAACTCCCAGAATTTGATACTATAACTTCCAGAATTTGGTACTATAACTCCCAGTGTTTGCAATCCAGAAAAACGTTTTCCTCCCTCTTTTCTGAGATCTAACAGAGGCATTGTTCTCCTTTCTAGTCTTTCCACTTCGCCCTGGAAGCGCCCAGGGAGTGAGTGACAGATGTCAAAAACCAACCGCTCTTACCATCAGGCAGGGGATACTCAACAGTGCCGGAGAATCCCAACGACCTCACATAATGCTCAAATTTTTTCATGGTGGTGTCCGATACTTCCAACTCCCTGCCTTTTGAGACAGAAGCAGAGGAGTGCGTGAAAGACGTACTACGTCATTTCTGTCCACTAATCTCCCCCCCCCCAAAAAAATAATTTTTCTGGCTTTTCTGCAAATCACGTACCGAAGAGATACAGCGCTCTATCACGTCCTCTCTGAATGTGCAGCATCAGGTAGCGGGTGTAGTCGGTGGCCACCACGTGGATCTTGCTTGGCTCTTCCCCTAGAACTGTGGACGTGGAAAGGTGTCTCGGATTAAATTACCTTCGTGCCTGACTCCTAGATTCAAAGCCCGTCTCAATGCCACGTTTCCTGGAAAGAGGCCGTGTGGGTTCAGCAACTCCCGCCCATCATCCTTCCACAAAACTGAGTGATGATGAGATCTCCTTTCTCCAACGTTTCCTTCGTACCAGCCTCTCTCCGTACAGTCTTGCTAGGCTATACTAATGGGGATCCCCTTGCTGTCGTCCGTCCACGTACAGTGAGACGATGGGAAAGTATGGGGTGACGCTCCCATGACCCTAAGTCCCACATGACGGCTATGGGGCTGGCATTAATAGGAAAAACCCCACGACACAAGCCCAGACATTGTTAGGCAAAGGATATACTGTAAATACAAAAGGGACATTCTAGACATCGGTTCCCACCCGGGGATGCCCGGATGTTCTTGGACTAC